CAACAGATTCCATGTCTGGTGAAGACCTGCTTCCTGGTTTGTAGGTGCTGCCACCTCTCTGTGTGCTCATGTGATTTCTTCTTTGTGGGCTCCAAGAGTGGGTGGGGAGCTCTGGTCTCTTCTTCTTCTTACAAGAGTGCTAATCCCACTATGAGGATTCTACTTTCATGACCTCATCTAAACCCATTTACCTCCCAAGCCCCCACCAACAAATACCATCACATTGCGGGGTTAGGATTTCAATATATGAAAGGGGGGCTGGGGGCTCAAACATTCAGTCCCATAGCATTTCTTTTCTAAATTGTAACTGGAACGATACCCACCTCAAGTGCATTCATGTTACATATGTAGCCCATAAATGGTCTGTACTGAATATCTCTTCCATGTTTTCTTTAAAGCCTCATTCTCTTCTCTTTTGGGGCCTCAACTATTCACTTTGAAGCCTTCACATTATGGTACAAAACTGGAACCCAGGACTGGACAAGTGAAGTGATTACTGGATCTGGAGGACGGAGAAAAGGCCAGTGGAAGATTCTCTCTTATTCCTTATTGTTTTATATCACCTTCCATTTGCAATGATTGTGGCATCTAAAACACTTACAGGAGTATATGAAATTAGTAAAGATTTTTAGAAAGTAAGTTTTCTCTTTCTCTAAAAAGAAAACACATCCCTTTTATAATTCCCCAATGAAGGTAAAGAAACTGTATGCTAAAGTCAGTTTTACAAATACCATCACAGACATTACTCAACACTGATATTTATATTCATGTTAATGTATGTCATAGACATGGAAATGCAGTATCCAGATCCCCCACCAAGGAAAGACTTGCTGCCCAACTGCAGAGTGCGCTTAGTAGATAGGCAGCAGCTCTTATCTCCAGGGTTCCCCAGAGTTACAGATCTCCACCCAACTCAAGGCACGCCCTTCCTCAGGGCAGTCCACATCAGTGGCAGAAGTAAAGCCTGATCCAGAGACATTTTCACCCAATGTGGGGCAACTCTGACAGGCAATACAGGCTCCAATGCTCCCCACATGTTTGTCTGGCCTGTATCACAGTTTGACATTCTCTGTCCAATCCTAGTTCCTTCCTCCCTTCACAGATGTTGGTCCCTAATAAACATCTTGCACCCCAAACTCCATCTCAGCATCTGCTTCCAGAGAACTCAACCTACATCACTATATCACCATAATTTTTTTCCTGGGTGTCTTGCATTTTATTATTACTTCATTCGACAGGACTTCTGCAAGCAAAGACTAGGAGTAGCAAATAAATCCTGTACTGAATTATAAACTATGTTCTCAATCTTTCAGTTTTTGAACCACATAATAAAGTCAATATTATTTTTTTAATTAATTTTTATTGGAGTGTAGTTGCCTTACAATGTTGTGTTAGTTTCTACTGTACAGCAAAGTGAATCATCTGTATGTATACGTATATCCCCTCTTTTTTGCATTTCTTTCCCATTTAGGTCACCAGAGCATTGAGTTCCCAGAGCTATACTGTAGGTTCTCATTAGTTATCTATTTTATATGTAGTATCAATAGTGTATATATGTCAATCCCAATCTCCCAATTCATCACCCCCGCACCCAGTCAATACTGTTTTTATGGTGTCTTTTTTAAAAAGTGGGTTGGATTCCACAGCTTTTTCTATCTAGCTAATCTGTATTATCAAATTTATTATCTCAGAGATCAGGGTTGCTATTGCTTTTGATTACTTATACACATTAATTTACACACCTGAAGTCCTATATTATGGTGTCCTCCCCCCCACCCCCCTTTAAGTTCAACGCCTAATGGGCCTTCTGGCTGTGCCCAAGAAAAACACATTTTCTGTCCTAAGGCTTTTGCATTTTCAGTTCCCTCTACTTGAAATACTCTTCCTCTAGTCTCTGCCTGTCTCGTTTTTTTAATTTATGTAGGTCTCTGAGCAAGTAATACTTTTAAGAGGTAATCTCCATTTACCCCCTATCTAAAATGAGTCCCCATAATGCTCTGTGGCTTATCTCCTCCCTATGTTTTTCACAGGATGTGTATCATCTTACATATTATATATTCACATGTTTATTTATGGCTCCCTCACCTAGAGCAAATTCCAGAGAGGTAGATTTTCTAGGTTTGAATTGACTGTTGTATCCTGAGTTACTACAAGAGTGCGTTAAATGAACACATGAGTCCCAAAGAAATAGGACCAAGGATTTACTAATATGGGATTAAATAAGTTCTGAATATTTTTAATCGACAAACTCTAGTCCCCATTAGAATTAAATCCTAAAGAAAATGTAAACGGCTGCTGAGTGGAATTTTAAGAATTTCATCATCTGATGAAACTATCCTTTAGTTAGGTCACTTAGCCAGGATGCTCTTTCAAAGGACTTTTCTAAACAGTACATTCAGAATTGATAAGTTTCCTAAATGTAATCAGTGCATCCGTATTTTGGCTGCCTAAGGACACTGCTTCTAGATAACATTAGTTTTATTAACTGACTTCAGGTACTTGCCTATCGGATTCATCTCCCAACTTCTGAACAAGCCTCTCCTGCACACACTAGTCCATGTGAATCTGCAAGCAGTCCTTTCAGTTCAGACCACGTGCCGAATTGCTATTGGAGTTGCGCTCCACCCCCTCAAGATAACAAAAGCACTTTATAATCTTATCACTCAAAACACAAGATTATGTGTACCAGCTTTCTCTTTGACAGTGTAGGTGGCTCTGAAAAGAGCCTTTGTTTTTCAGCTTTTCTCACCTTGTTACTTATTTGGTCTTATGATGGCTCTCGGTCTTCTTAGGCAGCAGCACGGCCTGGATATTGGGCAGGACGCCGCCCTGCGCGATGGTGACTTTGCCGAGCAGCTTGTTGAGCTCCTCGTCGTTGCGGATGGCCAACTGCAAGTGGCGCGGGATGATACGCGTCTTCTTGTTGTCGCGGGCCGCGTTGCCTGCCAGCTCCAGGATCTCGGCCGTCAGGTACTCCAGCACCGCCGCAAGATACACCGGCGCGCCGGCGCCGACCCGCTCGGCGTAGTTACCCTTGCGGAGCAGGCGGTGCACTCGGCCCACGGGGAACTGAAGCCCGGCCCGCGAAGACCGGGTCTTGGCCTTAGCGCGAGCCTTACCTCCTTGTTTGCCTCGCCCGGACATTACGAGTTCAGCAACGTCACCTCAAATTGCTACTGAAAGGAAAGTGCAAGGACAGCACTTTTTATAACCCTTATTGGGCGCGAAAAAGAAGGTATGTCATTGGTTAGGATGCGGCTTCATATTAACCAATGGAAAGGTGAAATTGGGATTCTTGCGTTCTGATTGGGCAGAACTAATTTCTGAAGGTTTCTTGAACAGCCACCAATGAGACATAGGACTTCGACTTACCTTATTTGCATAAGAGGTTCTATATAAATGAGGTACTTTGCGCGTTTATTATTTTTTGTCGCTGTACGTCGCTTGCTTTTACAGACCATGCCTGAGCTGGCGAAGTCCGCTCTGGCCCCGAAGAAGGGCTCTAAGAAAGCGGTGACCAAAGCGCAGAAGAAGGATGGCAAGAAACGGAAGCGCAGCCGCAAGGAGAGCTACTCCGTGTACGTATACAAGGTGCTGAAGCAGGTCCACCCGGACACCGGCATTTCGTCCAAGGCCATGGGCATCATGAATTCGTTTGTTAACGACATTTTCGAGCGCATCGCGGGCGAGGCGTCGCGCTTGGCGCACTACAACAAACGCTCGACCATCACGTCCAGGGAGATTCAAACGGCCGTGCGCCTGCTGCTACCCGGGGAGCTGGCCAAGCACGCCGTGTCCGAGGGTACCAAGGCTGTCACCAAGTACACCAGCGCCAAGTAAATTTGTCAAGTAACTTAGATCTAACCCCAAAGGCTCTTTTAAGAGCCACTAAGTTGTCAGTATTAGAGCTGAAAATACGAACTCTGAATTTAGGTTTAAGTTCTAGCGATAACGTGAGGTAGTGAGAATTCCATTGTACTGAATCATACGTACTGTGGTCGTAAATTGCCTCTGAATAAAAGGAAACCAATTATACTACCAAGTGCCTCAGTAACACGGCCCTTAGATCTGGTAAGTTAACATGTGGACACAAAGCGAATCATTCTTCTTTCGGTGGTTTTCTGTGTGAAGTACAGTGGCTTCCTGTTTAAGCCTTAACAGCCTCTGTGTCACGTGTCCTTTTTTCTCCACCACTGGTGTTCTAATATGCATTTATGTGTTAGTAAACTTGGTCTCCAATGACCTCCCAAAATTCAGCCTTTTAACTCAGCAGTTATGTCCCTGGCCGTACGATGTGCTTAAAAAGATACAGAATGGCAGGAAGGGCATTAAATTGGCAAAACAATGCTGTCGCTCGGCTCTTAAATTTTGGCCTTTCCAGCCCATTTGGGGTCAGGACAATGCTAGAACTCTGCGCCGCCCTCCCTGGCCCCCCGCGCC